TAATGATTGGAGGCACTTCTGTAGGCCGGGAGGGCCAGGGGTGCCCTCTGAGGCTGCTGTCGCTTTGGGTGCCTCAAGGCCACCGCCCCCCCCACCCGCAGAGTCGCCCCAAGGTGCTCTTCCCCTGACTTATTTCTGCCCTTAACTCCCCTGGAGGACCCTGCAAGCTTTCACCAGCCTGAGAGGGTACGGCTGTGAGAAGAGAGACGGGGGAGGGCTGGATGCTCTCCGGGTAGCCCACCCCCGGGGGGTGGGGTGTGCAGCGAGGCCTCTCCTCCCTAAGCATCTCCCCTCCCTAAGCTCTCCCCTTCTTGCCTGGGTTGCTGCTGTGTGGAGCGCACCCCATCAACAGGGGGCGTTAGGCCCCCGTGCGGGGGAGTGAGGCCTGGGAGCGCAGGGCTCCTGGAGGCAGCCTCCAGGCCCCGGAGTACAGAAAAAGCGATCGTGTTTGAGCTACCTGGGAAAGTAAACAGGTAAACACTGGGCCGACTTAGAGGGCCACTTGTCCTGGAGTGGGACCACTTGGCCTGTGTATATCCGCCTCCCTTACGGGGCCTCTGCGATTGTTTGGCTTCCCAGCCACCTGTGCAGCCCCGGCGCCGGAGCCTCGGTCTGTCCTCGAACTCAGAGCAGCAGAGGCTAACCAGGTGGCCAGGAGCTTCCAAAGGAGGTTCTCTCTAGTCTCCAAGAAGAGAGGTTCTCTCCCTCCCCTCTATCCTTTCCTTGGGGCCTGCGACTCCAGTTCGCCCATCCTCAACGTAGGAAGAATGAAATAGCGTTAGAGCTTTCTGCATAGCCTGCAAGCCCCAGACTGATCATGAAGGGGGCAGGGGCCCCAGTGGGGATGCGGGGGTGTTCGATTCACTAAGGAGACACCAAGCAGGTCGCCTTGGGCCCAGGCCACGCGGGGTTCAGAACTTCCAGCACGGACCCGGACCACCTCCCCAAGTTTGCAGCAGCAGGAGGCGGCCGATTGCAATGGTTCACCAGATGCCTGACGACCTCAGCTGAGCACAAACCCTAAACCCAAGCCTGACAGACTCGAGGACACGGACCTCTCTGCAAGATGGAACATGGAAAGCATTTACCAAAGAATTTCGAGTGGGGGAAACTAGGGCCCATCAGAGTGGCGCTGAAACGGGTGCAAGCAGAGGCTGATGGGGCGGGGTGTCGCGGACGTTAGCAAGGGACTGTCCGAGGGGGAGGGGCGCAGGGCTGAGGCCTCCGCCTGCTGGGAGTGACAACCCCGTGGAACGGGTTCCAGGACTGGAGAAGGCCAGGCTGTGATGCTCCCCCGAGGCCCCTTGCCAAGTTCTTGAGGTGCAATCACCTGTTTAATTTGGACGGGAGAGGTGCGTTTGTCGATAGGCTTCTGGGCTGGCCCGGCCCCAATCAGGGTCCACACAGTCGTGGAGACCCCGACGTGTGCTCCAGGCGCGGGGCTGGCCCCGGCCGCCAGCTGGGCCTGCGCGGGCCTCCAGGCGTCCGCAGGCCTCTCCTGGGGGACTTGTATTTTATGATCTTCCACTAACAAGCCCAGTTTCTCCCCTTCAATTACGGGCCTCCCAGCGGTCCCCCGGCGCCTTTTCAATTGCAAATGTTAACGCTTTGGAAGCGGACGCGGGAATCACGAAGGCGGCAAGGCGACGGGGACAGGGACTCGCGGAGGTCCCGGGAGGAGGACTCAGCGCGCCATGGAGGCGGCCAGGCCGCCGCCCTCTCCACTCCCTCCTTCCCTGCCCAGCTGCCCCAGGCCTGGGAAAGGAAGAGGGGAGGACTCGCTGGGGCGAGGGTGGAGGAGGGGACGGAACCCCCGGGCGGCCTTGCACAGCCAGGGGAGGTGTGCACCCCAGGTGCTCGGGAACGGGACCCCAAGAGCTGAGGTCCTGAGGGATTCGGCCTTTGAGGCCAAGGGACAGGCCCAGGGGCAAGCCTGGCTTCTGTGAACCGGGCCTGCGCCTTCTCGGCCCCTGTGGCAACACATCCCACCCCTATGATTGATTCCCAGAGCCTGGATTCCCGTAGGAAATCAGTGGTCCCCCAGATGCTCTACCGCACCTTGTAGGCTCTCGGTGCAAGGGGCGGGAACACGATCCCCAGCAGCGGGGCTGGTCAGATCCCGAGAAAAAAAAGGCCCACTGTGCCAGGGAAGGAGAGAGGTGGGAACTACACGCAACCAGGTGGTTCCGAGCTGAAGAAGCCAGCAGGCTCTGGAGGCTTCTCTGGGGAAACCCCCGCCCCACATGGCCCCGGGAGATGCGAAAAGAGGCACATTTAGGCCAACGGACCCCTTTTCCACCCAACCCAAGAACAGCCTAGGCCCAGCCGGGCTTCATTCTGGCCCTAGTCCCCATCCCCGGAGGCTGCCCGGGTCCCCAAGAGAGCCCCGCCCCCCTAGGACAGAGGAACAGACGAACAAAAGGCGGGTCTTTACTTCGATGCTGGGGTTGAGCAACTTTTTCTCGCCAGTTATTTATTTAGCGGCGGAGTAACAATGGCCGTGGCAAGCCCACCCCCGCCCCTGTGTGTCCAAACTCGGCGCTTCCCGACTCCTGGAGAACCACAAGTTCCCTCCTCCGACGAGGCAGGGCGACGAGCTCCCGCGTGAAAGGGGTGGGGGAGCAGCCGGGTGGGAGGCTGAGAAAGACAGGTTGGAAAGAGAGAGAGAGAGAGGGAAAAAAACCACGTAAAGCAACGGGTTCGAGGAACACGATTCAAATCAGTTTCTAATTCTTGCAGGAAAAAGGGGGTGGGGGAGGGGAGAAAGAAAAGAAAAAGGAGGAGGAGAAAGAGGAATAGGGAGCGTCGACATGAAGGGGTTTCCTTAATATTGTGGACGGATTCAGAAATGAATGAAGAGATAGTCCATTGAAAAGGGTTGAATGCCATGACAACTAGGAACAACCTTAGATTTATTCCAAACAGTTAGGACACATTGAAAGAGAGCGTCAATCATGTATTATTTCGCCACTGAAATAAATGCAAAAACCGCGCCGGGACAAAGGCTTGCGACGGGAGCGGGACATTTGTCTACATTTCGCTCATTGTCCGCAGCTTAGCAATCGGTTTGTATTTGTGTTTGCCCGGGTCCGACCACCCAGGACGCGCCGACGAGGGGCTCGCTCTAACCTGGGCCATTGTCACCCACGTCACATACTGGGGGCGAGGCAGCT